ATATTTGTCATCTTCCTCTAGAGGAAAAACAAAAGACGATAGCGCTTTGAGGTTTTCGACATTGGAATTTATTTACTTCTAAAAAAAGAGATCGAGACATGTTAGCTACTTTTTTCCTAACTGGTATAGTTTTTGAGATAGCCTATTCGGACATCAAATTTGAACCACCTGTACATACATTTTTTACATCCTTGATTTTATAATATGTATTTATCGAATTTCGACTTACGCGATTTTCGATTTACGCGGCTACTGTCAGTCCTACCTATCGCGTAACCACGGGGTATTACTGTATAAGAAATTGGAATTTTTCCCCATTCTGCTTGCGATGCAGAACGATTCCTTACTACCTATGTTGTGTTTACTAATTGCTTTTTCTAAATAATTCCACACGTGTTCTATGGTGTTAATATCTGGTTAATAACTTAATCATTACTGTTTATATGATTTCGATTAATGCTCGACGAATACGAATTTGAATTTAATTAAAATCATCACAAAATGAAATATCTAATCTCTTATCACTGGCAAAATAGCCCTTAAATAAAAAATATGTAATATCGACAACTTTTATTTCTAAGAAATTATAAAGAGCTAAATTAAAGAAATTTGATAGTTCAATTCGTTCGCTCTTCATTGATTTTATTGTTTATTTATATAGTTAGGCGTCAATTGCATAGATTTCGACGAACTTATACCAGATTTATAAATCATAAATGTTGTAGATATAGAATGAAAGAAATCTTTATTAATTAATAAAAATATATTTTAAATAATTGTAATATTAGCAGAACTATACAATATCCTAAGACCAATAAAAATTGATTGAAAAAATTGTAAGTCGATTTTTATAATTCGTTTCGAATAAAGCTTTTTTGCCTATAAAATAATTTTGGATCCGATGATGTCATGCTAAAGCAAACGTTTTCTGAGAAACCCTTTGAAGAACCTTATCTGCACATCATCTGACGGTACCGTCTCCAGACATACTCAACACGTGCTGACTGGAGGTGGTGGTTATAAAAGAACAGGTCGGTGAAAAAAGAATTAGTCGCTCCTGGTTCATCTTCTTGTGCTGATCGAATATTTTTTTATACAACTCGAAATGGCGTTACCATACAGCAATTTTTTGGAAGACTATCCCATAAGTCATGTCCTTAATCAGCGTATAATGGGCCCTATTGGAAATTGCCAAATTAATCCACCCTCAGGATCTGAAATTTTCGTCAGTCGTATTCCGCTGCATTATACAGAAGTAGAATTATTTAAAATTTTTTCAACCGTTGGAAATATTTTTAAACTCAGAATAATGCTTCGTGAATGTAGATCGACGTTTATGTATAACCGAGGATTCGCGTATATTACGTATACAACCCCAGAAGCAGCGGAAAGAGCAGTTAATGAAATCACCGCACAAAATAATAAATACACTGGTAAATACTTAACTGTTGAATTATCGCATGATAATTGTCGATTATTCGTCGGTGGTATACCGGAACATAAGACCAAAGATGAAGTTTGGAAACAACTTTTAATGTCGGGATTTGAAGGTATCGTTGAGATTATCATGTATAGAGCGTACACCAATCGGACTGTAAACCGGGGCTTCGTTTTTGTTGAATTCGAAACACACCAGAAAGCTGCCCAAGCTAGGTATTTGTTTCAAAACTTGAAATTGTGGGATACCAAGTTAACCGTGAACTGGTCGACGCCCTTACCAAAACTTGATTCAGTCACTTTAGCTAATGTAAGTACTTAAAAATTTTTTTATACAAATCAATTTATACAATTTCTGTCACTTACACTTTATTATTTTTTTATTTATTTTGAAATAAATCTTGTATACAATAAAAATTAACAATAATTATTTTTTCATTAGATAACGAAATTGTTCTTCAGAAACATGAGTGTAACTGAATTACTGGAAGAATTCAAAGCTACCTTAACCCATGTTTTAGATGGAATGCCATTGAGGAAGGTGTACAAATTTAAAGATCAAGCTTTTGTACATTTTTATAATCGCAATGAAGCAGAAGAAGCAATGGAGAAATTAACAGGTAAAATTACTTGATTTTCTGATACCTAATAAAATAACAATTTTATTAAATGAATGTATGAAATATTTAAATCTTTCATTTTATAAATAGTTTTGACATAAAGGATCAGTAAGGTTTTTTGAATTACCTACAAAAATTAATAAAATATTTGTCAATTTGTTTTTTTAGCATATTATGCAAATAGTGTTGTTGAAATTTCATGGGCTATACCACAAAACATGGCCCCTAAAAAACATTATTGGTAAGTAAACCAAAATTATAAATAGTATACCAATTTAGTCAAAATTTTTGAGTAATATTTTCCATGAAAAGTTAATTCTACACATTTTGGTCTAAAAAAAATATCAAATCAATAATTCTTTCGTACAAGGATTTGATAAAAGATATTGTTTTGAGGAAATAAAAATAATGATACAACCGAATAACACAAAATTTGCAATTTTTTCTTTTTTCCATATATTTTTAAATTATACAATGGAAAATATTGCAATGTGTATGCTGGCTAAATTGTTTTCCAACAACTATTGACCAAGTCCATTCATGAATAAATTTTATAATTTTTGTAGCAGCACTTCACCAACTCCAATCAAAAACATAAATATTATGTTCAATAAGAAATCTCCTTATGTTGAGCAGTCAAGTTCCCTAGGTGAATCATCATCATCAGATCACTTTCAACAATTACCTCCTCAGGAGTAAGTGTTAAAATTTTTAATTAATTTTTAATAAATTAATCAAATTCTTTACTTTTGATTAAGGATCATTATACTGCATATAGCTTACCTCTAACCTATGCTTGTATACTGAATAATTTTGCTCAAAACAACTTTGTTTTTATTTAATAACCAACAACAGACTATTCATAATGTTGTTTAAAGAGTTGAGTCTCCTGACTTAGGAATCAATATTTTTTACCAGCTATTTAGCCTGTTTTCTTTATCATAAAATTGACATGTCACTATCATTTGCTTGTATATCTAGTAATTAGGTATTTGTGTAGGATTGATTTGACCACTAATTAGAAATTGCATAACATTGAAAAAAGTATCTTTTTTTTGCCACAAAATTGTCAAGTTGAAATATGTAGAATATTAATTTCCTAATCCACCATAAGACCATACATTCTATTTATGTAAAAAATGTATAATATGGAAATATACTACATAATTTATTTATTATTACATTTGATATACTCTCATTAAGCATTTGTAAATTAATTAATTTTTTTTTATTTTAGTTCTCCAACATCTATCAAAGTTTCTAATCCATTACTTCATAGTCAACCTGAGCAATTTGATTGGTCAGATTTTTTAAATCAATCATCGCCCTTAGATTATTTTCAACAATCACACAATCAATTGTAAGTTTTTAAAATTGGTTGTTCATTGTTATCTAATTTTGGCAAACCATAATCAATGAATATAAAAATAAAAAAATTATCTGCATGCTGTAATTTTGCAAACTGATGCGCTATTTTTATTTTATTAGTTCTTCTATGCCTATTAATAAGACCGACCCTGTTATTAATCATGGAGCTGAAGAACCTGATTGGCCAAGTTTCTTAAGTGACTCTCCATCTTTAGATCATTTTCTACAATTACCTCACTGGTAGGTTTTTAAATATTAATTTGATTCATTAATCAATTATAAACTATTATGCTTTAATAATCGATGTATTAATAACTTTTTTTTAAATTTTAGTTCAACACCAACCAAAAAATCCAATTTGTTAATTAATAATAGTTCTCCACAGCCTGAATACGCTTCTTACAGTGGGCAGTCATCTTCATCATCTGTCAATTACCAACAGTTATTTTCCCCTCACTAGTATGTTTCAAATATTAAGTTAGTAACATTTCCTTTAAAATATATTTTGTTTAATAATAGTTCACCTATACCAAGTCAATATGATATTGATCTAATGAATCAATCACCATCATACTCATCTCCCACTCAACCTCCCATTTTGCAAAGAAGTCCATTAACTATACAAACTTTAGATTATCTGCACTTAGTTCGCCCCAAGTAAGTTATAAATAGTATATTTATATTGTTTTACTTGCAATAGCAATTTAGTTAGGGTTTCAATGATAAACTTTTGCAGGATTTATTGATGCTAAATCTCCTTATTGATTTATTTTTTTTATCAGATCTCCCATTGAGACGGTTTCAAGTGGATTGAACATTGAAAATTCAGCATTAATTGATAGCGGTTTTTGTTCTGGTACCGAACAACTTAATTTATCAGCTATTAAAGATGAATATCTTCCTTTCGATCAGGTTTTCAGGTGAGCTAAGATTTAGATATTAATAGTGTTGTTAGTATTGTTAAATATTATTGCTTTTTATTATATGTTCTAGAACATTAGCTATATCAACCAATGCGATGACTTCTAATGATTCTAAAGAGCCAAATGAAGCCATTTTCAAATGAGGTAATACTGAAAATACATATTGTTTGTATAAAATAAAACTAATTATTTTTGTTTTGTTATTTAGAGTGGTATCCAAAGTTAATTATTCTCATGAAGCAGCTTAAAATCTATGTGGAAGGAAGAACATCTTCATATAATGATTCCTTAATTAAGTCTTTCCAACTCATGTCTATATAGTATTTATATATTTTAATCTTGTTCTCAGAACTTGTTATTGTATTACTTTCTATTATTCATTATTTATAATGTTAATATTTTTATATCAACTTCAGATCAATTTTTTTAAATTTGGATTTGGTGTGCTTTTTTATTTTCTTATTTTTATTTTAATCTAGATTTAGTGTTTGTTTTTGTAAACTTTCTTTAATATTTTTTTAGTTTTGATGTTTTGTAGTTCTTAAGAAATAGTTTCTTGTATTTATTAATATAATGATATCAACATTTATTTGCATTTTTTTACATGCTTCTACGACGTTTTATGTATAGCATTTTAAAAGTTAAACTCTTGTTACGTGTTACCAACAAATTTACAACGTTTCCGTTCGAATCTTGACAGATTTTTGAAATAAGGTCTGTAAATGCTATGCTGCAGTTTTTATTTGATGAAACAAAAATTATTTTTGTTTAATTAATGTAAAAATCATGAATGAAACGAAAATCTGGATTCGGATGACGGGACAAAATATGAAAAGCGTTTGAACTCAGAAAAGATTCAGAAGAGGCGATTTTCTATTTCTTACCCTTATAAATTAAAGAAATCAAGTTCGTGTTCATTTAGCAAAGTCATCAAATCTTACAACGTAATTATCTTCAACATTAAACTTGTCGTATTAAAGATATACACGACCTGACTTGATTATAAACTCGAGCACCCATTGCTTTGTCTGAAAGAAAATGTCACAGTTGAGTCTCTGCGACCTATATACTGTAATAATCTGTAAACTAAAATCAGTGTGTTACAGAAGACTTCTAGTTTCTACATATATCCCTAACGGCTGAGTTGTTGCAATTTAGTATCTGTCCATCCACAATGGTGGCAAACAACCGCGGCTTATTAAGACAAAAAACCTACATTTTTTATTCTGGGTTAAGCCAATGAATTGAGCATCTTTGGAATCATATGGTATTATTTGTAGAGCCTCACCTGTAAGCTACCTCGGTTTATTCAAACGAAAACGTACATTTCACCATAAGTTAGCCAAGCCATTGGAATGTATTGATCACCCTTGGAATCATATACAATCGTAGAGATTTGACATCGAATTCTTTTAATTGGTAATGTGCAAATAAAGTAAGCAAAGATGATTATAGGCAAAAGCAAGAAGCCAAAAACATCATGCTTCTTGGTATGGTTTTCTAAGATATTCATATCCGATGTAAAAAAATTGTAAGAGAAAGAGGGAAGGAAAAGTATTGTTGGTCATTAATAATGCACCAACTCATCCCGGATTAGATCATCCTGTAGGTAATTGACGAAGATTTTCTGGTGCTATTTTTTTACCTAATGAAACGAACTGTTGTAACGCTTGCTCATTGGTGAACGAAAAGATTTGTTGTTATAAATTTTTATGATTGTTGCTGTATATTGGTGGACTCGTGAAACAGTTTGACTACACATAATTTAAAAAATGAACGAAATAAACTATGGAAAAAAGGTAACGAAGAAAATGAATGCTAGAGAGAGTGCTGAGTTGGATAATATATCAACATACATATCAAACAATACTCGGATTCGAAGAGTGTTATGAACAGAATGTTAATTAATGGCTCGAGACGGCCATAATCTACAAGAACATCAAAATTATGAAGACGATGAAACTATCGATATAGTAGTTAAAAATAATGATGAGAATCATGTCCACGTTGATGTAAGATCTTCACATTCAGATGCATTTAACTCACTGGAAACTGCCATGAAATGGTTCGAGATCTGCCATGTCCAATAACAGTTTAAAGAAGAGTTCAAATTGTTTTCATACCATTATGAATTGTATATCTACAGTGTCCGCCAAAAAGTCAGCAACACCCGTTTTATTTCTGTTTCATTGCATCAAAGTTTCTGACATTTAGCTTATATGGAAGGTTCATACCGATCTTTCGATCTAAATTATTTTCAAGATGGTGGCCACTTCCGGTCCCCGGACGTAGACCTCAACTTCGTTATTTTAAATGGAATGCTATAGTTTTTATTACACCTTTTAATTGTATGCGAAAAAATATGTTGACTTTGATAAAAGTTACTGGTACCTAGCGTTTTTCGTGTTCGAGTTACTTTGATTTTAAGTTTTTGTTTGGTAAATTTCACCATGCTTTTAAAACCCCATATCTCAGCAAATATTTATTTAAAAAAGCTCTAACTTGGTAAGATTACTCTTCAGATGATATCAAATAGATTGTCATTTGTTGTATCAGAGTATCTTATACAGGTTGGTCAAAAATTGAATTGTCGTTTCTCCATATTCAAGGGCAAGAAAGCTGAAAATTTTATATGGTACGCCCCATATTCTTTTAACCTAACAGAGAGAGAATTAAATTTCTTATCCAAACCTAATTTTTGTTTTCATTGATTCATTTATTTG